GTCACTATAACCAAATCTTGGTTATTATAACTAAACCTTTTTCTGAGTGGATGTATTACATGAGGTCTAAGTTAAAATATAGGAAAAAAATAATTAGAGGATTGCTTACAGTCGAAAATATTTTTGTGAAAGGTTGCCATCTGTTTTAAAATTTTAGTTCGATTCAATTGATAACATAAATTAAATATTGCAATAGCTTTGTTTCTCAACTGATAATTATCACAAATTATCACTAATTTCTGCTGGAAAGCGTTTCTTAACCCAAAAAACTAGCTGAAACTAGCAGCTCTCTCTCGATCTTACGCTCTTTTTTTTTTTGGCTCTCCTGCTAATTTCTGCTAGTAAAATTTTTACTAGCAAAACTAGCAGCTGTCACAATGGATAAACGAAAATTCGCGCCAAATACTTTCAATAGTCAAATACACCGATCAGCTGATTACTTGCTAGTTTCTGCTAGTTTTGCGTTTCTTTACTTTTTCGTTATTTCGCTCTCTGTGAACGTAATTCTTTCAATTTCCTCATTCTTCTTCTTCCTGATAATTATCTGCTAGAAAAGAAAAGAAACAAAGCCAATATGGGTATCAAACTAAAAAGGTTTAGGAAAGTTTACTGCCAAAAATATTTTTGAGGATGGTTGCCAGCTGTTTGAAATTTTTTTCCATTTATTAAATTGATAAAATAAATGAAATATTACAATACGGGTATCAAACTAAAGAAGTTTAAGACAGTTTATTGTCAAAAACATTTTTGTAGCGGGTTTCCAACTATTTGAAAAATTTTATTCAGTTAAAGTGATAAGATAAGGTAAATACTGAATTAATACACCTGTGAAGAAAATAAACGATATGTAGAATCGCGTTATAAAAGTATAAATTAAATATCTATGCTTCAATACCTTTGAAAATATATTAATGAACACCCTTATTCACAAAAAGTAAAATATGTTTCATACATCGAAAACTTGTTTGACAATCTCACTTTCTCAGAGCCAAAGAGTTTTGGGAAGGACTAACAATACAAAAATACTTTTGAATGCGCAGTGAAGCACGCCGGGTATTTGCTACTTTCCAATAAAAAAAATCATCCTGAAGTAGGTTCAACAACTACATCAGTGCTGGGTAAATAAGGTAACTTCCAGTCACTTTGAAATGTTTAAATTAATATTTTTTCTCATTAAAATTAAACATGTGCCATTGGAACACCCAAGTTCAACGCTATTTATAGCTGACTCGCATTGTAATCGGTGAAAATCTGCCTTGACATATTCCATATCAAAAGTAACGCCACGAAACAATGCATATTCTCCCTGCATAAAGGAATGAAAGCGTACTAAATATACAATATGAGTAACATACTAATGTATTTTTGTTGTATGTAATGTAAGTAACTATTTTTATATTTAACTGCACTCTTTTGTTATTATAACTTACGTCATTTTCAATTCAGAATATGTACTTCAATATATGCACTATACATACATATACAGACATGCATACACATGCACTGTCTTTTAATCACATATGTACGTATGTATGTACATATTGATACTGTTAAATCAAAATACTATTCAGATTACGAAGTTCAAAATTTAAATACAAATTTTTTGAATTTTTCTAAGTTCTTTATAAAGTTGAAAAGTTGGACTTAAGTGGTTTTGATTAAAGCATCAACCATATTTTTATACAAAAAAAAAAAAATAACGAAAAAATTTGTAGCCTGAAAAACATTGCAAAGATTTAACAAAATACACCAGGCACTCACTTTTGATCGCCAGTGGAAATTAAATTACAATAAAATTACACTATTAAAATAAAACACAAAACTTTCAAAAAGTAAATTATAAACCAATACAAACACAATTAATTCAAATTGTTTAAATGGAAGTGAATGGCAGAATGCGGTGCAAGCATGCACACATTCATGTGTTCATAAAATGGAGAAAAAATAAAAACATTTACACCGGCAGACACGCAATTCACGACAAAGAATTAAATTTAAATATGCACGGTGCATTTTCGCTGAATTGACAGTCATTAATTAACATAAAATAGAATAAATAAATTTTGCTTATAAAAGAGTTACTGGAATTGCATACTAAAAAAAACTAATAAATAATAAAACTAATATACGTTTCAGATGAATGGGATGACAATAGAAATACTTATTTGTTTTATTATAAACCAGTTTGTTTGCTAGCCCTAAATGTCGCACATCAAAACGCACGCCATAAATTGGAGGAGAAGCTGGGCCAAATTAAGTACACCTAACAAGGGCAATTGTACATTTTTTGATGTGGAATTTCATAAACGACTTCGGATACGTTTGCGTTTATCGTTGAAAGCTACAGTGAAAGGGGGATATGGCGAATGAATCCGACAGAAAGGGAACGATGGCGTTGAAAGCGAAACAAAGGGAAAAACAAGAACAAGGCCAAAGTCACAGACAAATACTAAAGCAAAAACAAAGGCAAAAACCGTGGCTAATATAGGTCTAAAGACAAAGAAAATGAAGATAAATAAAAGCAAATGTAAAGATAAATATGAAAATAAAAATAAATATAAAGACAGAGATACAAATAGGGATAGAGTAAAATATATGAACAAAAACAAAGCTGAAGACAAAAACAAAAACACGGACAAACACAAAGTCAGAGTCATGGTTAAAAAAATCTTAATCGACAAAAACGCGCCAATGCATTTCTTCTTACAACAAGTATAAAGCATATACATATATACACTGAGAAAAAGGATTAGTTTCGACAACTAAAGATATTTTGTTCCCGAATTTTGACAATATTTGGTAACTGTGACCAAGGATTGGGAACTATTACCATGGGTTGGTAATTATAANAAAATTAATTGAAAACTTGTATCAACCAAAGCATTGTTTATATTTGCTCAACAATGATTTTATTCAACTAACAATATTGTCCACTCAAGGTAGTCGTTTTGTAATTATTAACAAATATACATTTGTCCCAACTAGAAGGCTCAAGTAAATTGCAGACTTTCGTGAACTAGATATTTATTTCGCCATATCCAACTATGCCACTTGGTCACTATAACCAAATCTTGGTTATTATAACTAAACCTTTTTCTGAGTGTACATATGCAATATTGGCAGTTACTACAAGTGCAGTCCGAAAACATTACAGGAGAGATATGCATATGAGCATTTCCACAGAATAGTCAACCAGGGCCGAGAAGTAAAATGAGCAATCAGTTGTATAGGAGCTATAAGTTATGTAAGTGGTCCGATTTTAACGGTTTCCACAAATGATTAATACATTAAAAAAGTACACTCGCGTATTAAATTTCAGTCGGATATCTTGAAAACTGACGGACTAAATTGCGCTCAAACAGACGGACAGCTGAACTTGGCAAATCGACTTAGCTCGACGTTCTGATCATTCTTGTACCTTCAAACATCGGAACAAATTTATAATACCACTTCATGTTCATGAAGGTATAAAAAATGTTTGTTGCTAACATATTGAAAAATAAAAATCGAAAGATCATCCCTTTTACACCAAAGATATATCAGCGAAATGCTATCGAAACGTAATCAAAAAATGTATAAAAATGTATGTTTGGAAATTCCCATATATCAGAGGTGTTAAAGAATGCAGTCATTTTTAACTAAATTATTCATTTGATTGAAGTCCCGAGTGATTGCAATAATTTTTTGTTAGTCCTGACTAAGACTAAAAAAAAATTAGTCTTTATTCTTTTTTTGATTTATGATTCATAAATCACTTTTTTATTCATTTTTTGTTAGTCACTTGATTTCAGCCATTGAATTGCATTCTTTCAGTCACTTTTTGTTAGTTATTTGATTTCAGCCATTGGAATGCATTCTTTTGCAGTACTTTGAATTTTTTTCAGGCATCGAGAACGCATTCTGGTTTTGGTTTATTTATGCATGAAAACAAAAGGTAGTTTAAAAAAATGCGAACAAAACTCTAGGGAACGTTCTTAAGAAGAACAGAATGAGAAAAGTTCGTGTCGTAAGTCTTTCGTTCAGAATGTGCAAATTACATTCGGGCTGAGGTGGAGTTTGTTAGATTTTATACTGATCTACATCCCAACTGTAGCAATATGATTTACTCATACATAAGTAGTAAATGAT